TTAAAGTATATTTTTTTTTGTTAGAGCATTACAAAATTTCAAGAATATCTTTATTTTTCGCAGGACATGCTTCTAACTGTTCATTTCACTTAATGCGTCATTCTAGCCGTTCACAAAAAAAAAAAAAATTCATTTTATGTCCCTAGTCACGACCCAACTCTAACTGCAGCGACCATATCATGATAACGCCTAAAGTTATCATAATAAAATGCGTACACCAAATTTCGTATAAGAATAGTAAAATATGGTGCTTGTGTTGTATATCGTTGAATAGCTCTTTCATCACTCGGAATGCAACCCTAGGGACAGTAGCCATGTCATGGCGAAATTTAGAAAGGGCATTCACAATTAGATGCCTATACATATCGTGTCTGTACTGTCAACCGTTAATGAATTTCCTCAGTTATCTCCCTTCTGAGACCAATCAGTTTCTTCCATTTATAGTTCGTAGTTTAATGGTAAAATTGAAAGATAATGGCACTGATATTAATGAAAATTTGTGATAAATACGGCTACAGAAAACTTCACCAAGTGTATTAAAACAAAATTGTTCCTCTGACAGATACTTATAAATGTTATGTTGCATAATATTTCAATTTGTAATAAAATCTAACTTTTTCTAGATAAAGAACATTAAAAAATGTTTTTGTTTTTCATTAATAACCTGCTAATTGAAGTAAATAAAGCGATGTCCCGTTTTGAGTAAAAAATAAATAGTCACGTTAGTGTAGTAATCATGCCATGTTACCATTGAAGAGTTCCTTAATCTAGAGCTAATCCTGGATGTCGATTCAGGTCATACTCTATAACTTATAAAAAACACAAGAACAAATCGGACGGAAAGTATTTAAAAAAAATATTTCTGTAAATAATTAGATTATAGTTTTCTTTATCAAACTAGCGGAATATAACCAAACCCTAACCTAACATAACCTAAGAAAACATTATTCAGAAAGAAAATTGTTTAAAAACCATCTTCTTGGTTTTTCGTGGACGTTCTCCATAAATGAGGGATTTCCAAAAAAATTTTCTAACATTCCTGTGTTACCTATATTGCAACGTGATTAGAACAAGCGGAAGTCCTCCCTGTAGTCAGAGCCGACGAAACTGTTTTTTTTTTGCTTAGATGGTGAATCACTGCTCTGCACAATCCTGCACTTCTTTCGTTTAAGATTGTGCGGTAATAGATCGTTACCGTCCTGCTTTTGGTGTTAGGACTTCGCCTATCTAAATTGACGCTACTATATTAATAAACTCATAATAAAAAAAAATTTTTGTAACTTTCTGTGCTGCATAGCATAGATACACTCCCGCTTATTTGCCTTAAATAAATTACAAAAATCTTAAAGAAGTTTAAAAAATTTCGACATATCTCTGTTTAGGTATTTTTCATTTTTATCTGAAAATTTCAGAGTTTACATTATTATTGTTTATACCATACAATTTGTTCAACTGCATTTGACTGAAATTAATAAAACTGAGGACAATTTTTTACACGTAGCGGAACAACAATAGATATTAAAATGTGAAGGTCGACTCATAAAAGATAATAACAACGCGTAGTAGATACCTATTTGCTATGCACAAAACAGAACATTTTTGTAAAAGGAGATAGCAAAAGCGGCTTGATAACAATAAAAAATTGCCACAATACACACCATGGCCGATCCACCATAACTGAAACGGTTTGCCAAATAAAAAAAAACTGTCAAAAAATATTACATTAAATCAGGGCTAGTGAAATACCCACCCAAATGAATTAATTGAACTTATTAAATTTTTGTTTCTCTTTATCCTACCTGTGAATTAAGTTCCGTATTGAAAAAGGTCAGTAACGGTTTTATGAGGTTATATTATTAAATACCTTAAAAGAGTTGCTATATGTAACAGATAGATATAGAGTCAGAGTTGACAAATCTCGAAATATGGCAAAACAGTTAAATTGCTGCGCCGTAAGTTCAGTTTGACAAATTGATGTCCTTAACAGTAAAACGACCTTGCCAAGCATTAACGAACCCACAATTAGTAGCAAATTTCTGCAGATGGCGTTCACCACGTGGTCTCTAGTTATTCGGTAAACGCTACATAAGGGCAGCAAATGAATTAGTCGATAAAGTTAATCTCATCGGAAAAACAAATTAAGACAATTACTAAACCGTTTACAATACGTATAAAATGATAATAAGTGACTTATCCACTGTGATTCTGATATTAATTTTTTCGTTTCTTTATTGAGTGTTTTTTTTTTCGATTAAATGGTACATTTATCTCACTTTGGCTCTGATTTCAACATTATCCTTATTGAGATAGTTTAAAATTAATGGAACAAAAAATAAAAAAAATCGACAGAGTAAAACGGTAAATATAGGGTTGTTCGGAAAGTCATTTCGTTTTTTTTTGTGGAAATGAAAGACAGTTTTCCTATAATAAACAAATACTTTATTAAATTATATATTGACCGTTCTGGTCTAATACCTTTTGCCATCTTTCTGGTGGTAGCATAATTCCACGATCGAGGAGGTTTTTGACCTCCTCATTTGAGGTGAAGGTTTTACCGTCTAAAAAATTTTGGAGTGACCGGAACAAATAATAATCCGATGGTGCCAGGTCTGGAGAATATGGTGGGTGTAGCATTGTATCCCATTCAAGCTGTAAAAGCTTTTGGCGAGTGACCAAACTTGTGTGAGGTCTCGCGTTGTCTTGGTGAAACATTACACCTTTCCTGTTGATTAGTTCTGACCTTTTCTGTTGAAGTGCATCATTCAGTTTGTCCAGCTGATGACAGTAGACTTTCGAATTAATCGTTGTGTTATCCGGTAAAAGCTCAAAAAAAAACGATTCCTTTAAAATCCCACCAAACAAACAGCATCATCTTTTTTTGGTGAATATCGGCTTTGGAAATGGTTTGAGCCGGTTCATCTTTTTTGCTCCATGACCTCTTGCGTTTGACGTTGTTGTATACAACCCATTTTTCGTCCCCAGTGGGGATGCGCTTCAAAAACGGATCATTTTCGTGACGTTTGAGAGGCGAATCGCAGACGTCAATGCGGCGACACAGATTTCTCTCTGTGAGAACATGGGGAACCCATACATCGAGCTTCGAGGATAATCCCAGGCCTTTCAAGTGGTCATAAACTGTTGAATTTGATAAATTTAACCTCAATCCGATTTCACGTGTTGTTATTCGCCGGTTCACATCAACTAATGCCTTTATCGCGTCTTTATCAGCTTCAACCGGCCTTCCCGAACGTGGTGCATCTTCGACATCAAAATTGCCGGATCGAAATTTAGCGAACCAGTTCTGGCACTGGCGTACTGTCAACACACCTTCTCCATACACATCAGTCAATTTCTTTCTGGCTTGAACAGCATTTTTACCCTTTCTGTAGTAAAACAGTAAGATATGTCGAAAATGCTGCTTATCGCTCTCCATATTTAAAAGGGCACCAACCAAAAACTACTGCGTAGAATTAATTGGAATTTTTCACACACAAGCCTTGCTATATGAGCTCTCAAAGCATATAAAAATTATACGGCTTAAATGTGAAGTTGGGTGCAAAAGAATATAATTAAATCCTCTGTCGGGAAAAAACGAAATGACTTTCCGAACAACCCGATACAAACGCCAAATAATAAGCGTGTTGTCGTTTTCTTCAACTTGCTAATATAAAACAATTTCAATACAAATATTCATCTAGAGAAATCTCTCCTGTATTGACGTTACTTTTCTCCTATAATGACGTGATAGGCCATGTACGCTATTAGTTTTGTGTTTCACATTTATAGGTAAAATGCATTATCCTTATCAGTATGTACCTACACAACGAGCTATAAAAATCTGCCCAAACCCAGAAAATAATTTGATTACTATAATGCTGATGTAGCGTAAATAAATAAGTGTATTTTTTTTAATAATTGGTTATCGATAAACTACATACAATTTTTTTTTCTTTTACGAGTATAGACCTTACTAAACATTATATTTCCATTTACAATTTTCTTTTTTAAAAGATGTATAAAAGATTAGAGACTTATTACTTTATAAACAGTGTCAGCATAGTTACACGGTCATTAAGTCATTAAAGTGCACGACAATGATTGCATTTGTGATGTATTTAGTGTACAACTAAATTATTGCACTACAACCATAACCAAAACATTGGGACTGAGAGAGGAGTCAATACTCAATTCTATTAAAATAAAATAAGTCAAATTATCTTTAATATCTAGGGCAATGTTCGTCCAGAAACTTACGCATTGGTCAATGCAATAATACTATTCTGCACTAACCTATGGCACTGACACATTGACTTACTTCTAATGACTTCGACATGTATATGTAATACAAGTACACAATGTTAAAAAAGTAAAGAACTACTTTAAGCTAGCTATAAACACAAACTACCATCACTCATGCTTAATATAATCTAACAAATAACATATAATACTTGAGTACAAAAATGCAAAAGAAATACAGCATGGATGCTGCTATATAGCAGTTGATTGAATGCGGCTTTGCAGCGTCATCCATTGCCAGGGTCGGACTGATCCTTGCCTACGTTATCCTCGAAAACGAAGGACTTTCCGACCACCAAACATTTATTTAATGTACTTGTTTTACATTGTCCTATCATCTTCTGCAAACTTGCTACTTATTTCAGAAACGCCTTGTATTTCCACAATTCTGGTCTTCAACTGTACGCCAGTGTGCATGTATCTTTATTTCTAAATTTAACCATTTCAAACTTCCTCAATGATTTAAATCTGTATAGGTACAGATCTTCTTCGTCGCTTTGACTTCATCAACAACTTTTACTCTCTTATTATTGATATCACATAGCTTTCAATTTTTACATCAACGACAGGCTCTTCTTTAAGTTTCAATTCCATTATTTTAATAACACACTATTAATATCTAACCGTGTGTTACTGTTAACATAAGCTTCGTATAATGAAATTGTATTAAGTAACAGTGAATTAATTTATTGTATTTTTTTCAGTATTTTTAATACCTCAACGATGGGTCTTAGGAATAATGGGTTTTCTTGCCATTTTAAACGCATATTCGATGAGGGTGACGCTTTCTATAGCAATTACTGAAATGGTCGTTTCATCGAATAAGTCTAGCAACTATTCTGATGCCTGCCCTTCTTACGAATCATCATCAGGGTCAACTTCTTCTTCAGTAATAAAGGTAAGAAAAACTTTGAACGTTACATTACACGGACCTTCAAAACCGGGCGGCGGAAAAATAGTGTAATTATCTGAAATCATTGCGATCGCCCAATTTTTAACGTAATGTGTGGTAATAACTGTTGGGTGTTTCATTCCCACCAGTCAGTAATGCTGGTAGGCGGGCAGTCCCTCCGTACTACGCCGGAAGGTAGGGCGGAAGACTTCCTTCAATATCGTTTCAGGAATCGTGGGAATGGGTAGGTGGTCATTCGGGTAAGAAAGTAAGAAAGATGAGACGTACGAAATGGAAACAGAACAAAATGAAAGATTATCTGTGAAATATTACTAAGAAATGGTCTACTTGGTTCTTGGTCCATTTTAGTCTAACAATTCCATCGGCAAGTGGTCACAGTCATTACCTCATGCTATTTATCGATGTGGACATTTGAACACGCTCAACACGTTAGGGGGTTGGTAATTTTTAATCAAAAGTCCCTGGATATAAAAGAAGGGCCATTTAGTTAGCTCTATTATTTCATGTATTAGCTAATTCCAAAAAATAATACCTTCATCAGCTGTCTCAACTACACAAAACTACGTTAGAAACAAAATGAAAGAAATGATAAAAGATGTTCAGCGCATTATTTACCTTAAATAGGTCCGTTCTTTCCGGTCAAAAAATGACCAGACAACTTTTTATTAGCGTCCTGAAGTAATTGGTAAGGGTAAGGTCGGCACATGTAGAGAATGGCTGGATTCTTCATAACAATAAAGTGCTTACGTATTTTTTGTTATTTGGCCGCAATCATTTGGCCAAAAAAGGTATTCCCATATTTCCGCCCTCATCTCAATGTCAGGATTTAGTACCGTGCGACTTTATTTTCCACCCAGCTTAAGGGTACTCATCATGGTGACGTGGTAGAAAGTAGTGGCAATAGTTGTGAATTCATAACTTCGAAAGGCTACGGAAGGTGCTTCTAGAAATGGGAAAGGTTAAGGTGAATAGAGCTAGAGGGTGACTAGTCTGAAGATCAATTGTCACACCTCCTATACTAATGAACGTATTATACCTGTATGAACCAGATGAATCAGGTTATCTCTCTATAAACGAATTATCATTAAAAGGAATTATTAAAAACAATCCTAACCAACAAATCATCGATTAAAAACAAAAAAACAAGTCCAGTTATGTAAGCAAATAAGATAGTCGCTTCTTTTTATTCTAAAAACATAAAGGTTTCAAGTAAAAGGTAAGGGTTAAAAATCTATTTAAATTTTTACAGAAAACTAGATCGACGATTTGCCTTGAATGTAAAACGTTTTCCTTAATTATAAATACATATACTGACTTCAAAAGACCACCTTGACAGAGTATTACACTCATGGCGAAAAGTGAAGAGTCGGTGTCAACGTTTAACATTTATCGACCTGACAACTTAACCTAACCTAGCCTTTATTGGCATTGATTTTTTACACGAATTAGAATAAGGGTACAAATGGAGAATATGTAAAAGTTTTATCATAATCCATCGGAATTGAAAACCTTGGTTTAATTTTCAGAAGCGTAAAAATATTTATTTTTTATGAGACATTGAAATATTTATTGCAGCATAGTAACTTTTTTTACCATTATTTGCGATTATGTAATATGCATAATTTGTTTTTCAGTATGTAAAATGTACAATAGAAAAAATTTATAACTGATGTTGTCAAACACATTTAAAAAATTACATATGATGTACTATGCACTTTGTTATAAAATAAGCTTCAAAATAGCTTATTAATAGAGGAGATAAATTTATCATTTACATGTTAAACCATTTTTCAATTAACATTTTTCATTATCACATTAAGTGCTGTACTTGAGGCGTTTGACGTTGTCTTGTCGCCTTTCCAAAATACTTATACCTATCAATCCCATTTATTTTACAACTGCCGTCTCAGTAGACCTCTTTCATAACTAATTTAACCAACGAATGATGATGGTGAATGGTGAACAGTGGAGGTATACTTCGTTTAGTTTCTCTAGCGATGTGACCTTTAGTTTGACCAGCGGAAAGTAGAAAAGAACAGCACTAGGCAAAAAAAGAAAGGAGACAACTCTCAGCCAAACTCTTAACAGGTGAGGAGCGTATAATCCGTACAGTACTACACGGAAAAATTGACCATTTTATCCACTAAAATTGCACTGCTCAAATGTGCTGTTATTGGTATCAACTACTACTGAAAATATCAACGAGACGTTTATTTATATTTGAAAACATATTAAAGGATTTAACGCTTGTTTTCGACTTGCACTACTATTCATGATCGAACAAAACTTTTGGCAGGTACTGTATGAAAAAGTATGTTTAATGAACAAGAGCCGAGAGTGTAATGAGCTTTTTTCTCCCTACCTAAGATTTTGCCAGGGCGCATCCAAGACATTGGAAGGGGCAAATCGCTAGAGAAAGTAAATGAAGTATACTGTAACAAACTTTTTGGTGGTTACATACATATTTATTTATTTCAACAGGTACTTTCAGCAAGTAATATATTAAATGTTAATGTGAAAATTAATTATTACCATAAATTACCTCAAGTTACTGTCACCTCTCGTAGCTTAGTGGTCAGAGCATTGGTGCATCATGCCAAAGGTCCCGGGTTCGATTCCCGGCGAGGGTGTGACAACAGTAACAATTTTTCATTATTAACCTCACGTAATTTATAGTTAATAATAATTAATAATTAATTTTTACATTAAAATTTAATATTACCCACTATTGAATTTTATAGCATTTCACATAGAAGTAATGTATTTATCTATTTTTAACATTAATCTTCAGTTATCTAATACTATCGACAGTTAATTTATCACTTACATACAGTCGCTCACTCACAATAAATAATTCATCAGTAATCAATCAATCAACAATTTGTTTGATATTTGAGCAGAATCAGGACGCTACCGCTTACAGAACAATGATAATCAAAATATTTATTTTTCACTTTGGCGGGGTTGTGAACAATTTAATAATCGTATGAGGAATGAATGAGGCTGTAAAAAGGTACAAATGTTAACGACTGAAAAATTGTCTTAGCTTCAATAATTTTGAAAATGTAAGATTTGGATTGTAACGAATATTAAAAAAAGCATTACGATCTAGTGACATTTACTTGGAAGCATTAATGCTTATTATCTATCTGTTTAGAATATAAGGATTACAAATTATAACACACGACAGCAAATTGACCTGATAGTTTTGCAAAAGAAACTGTCGAACTATTTAGAAGTAAACAGTAATGTATAAATATTACTTATGCATTGGCATATATCTTCTTAATAGTTTTATTCCATTCTTGAGCATATTTGATATTTTACAAACATCCCATAATTATTCTTTTAATAATATTATAATTAACCATTTGCATCACATAACTTGTTAGATACAGGCGATAGAAAAGTGCAATTTGGTAATAATTATCAGTGATATAATACAACACGCAATGTGTCTTTTAAAAGAAAAACAACAGACAGTACATTCGAAACACAAAAGTTGCTAATTAATTATCTTTAAGTGACAGCGATCTATAATAAAAAATTGGTCTCAGTGTATCTCATTTATCAATGTATACAAGGTGAGGTTAGGTTGCATAAGGAGTAAGTAATGGTCACGAGTTGTATTAAAAAAAAAAAAATAAAAAATGACAGTTAATTTGCAGTTAGCTCTCTGTCTGTACATAAGGGCTAAGCATATTATGACATTTATGTTAGGATACAAAGAGGAAGTTATCAAGAGAAAAGCAATTTAGGCTACAATTTTTATTTGTCTTTACGCTTTTGTTTTTGTACTAACTAATTTTGAAACAGTTGAACCGATTCTAATGGGACTTTTTTTATACGAACCAAGGATTCAAAACTACCATTTAATAGGAAGAACTTGTTTCCAAAACCATTTTTTGAGATAAGTGACCAAAATCTTTGTGTCCATCGTATTTATGAGTTAAACTATTTGCAGTAAATTCAATATTCTTTTCTTAGAACAGAACATTTTTAGTATTTGAAATTTTATGTTTGCTTTACTAAATTTTAACACTAATAATAAAAAAAGAAACTTTACCACTGTTTGGAAAAAGAGATACACAAGAATGTCCTTGGAGTAAGTGTTCTGTCCGATGTCTGGATAACACATGGTTGAAATATAGAGAGACAGACTAATTGTTTTTGATATTTTTTACTTCTTTCAAATACCTTGTACTATTTGTACTATTTTGTTGGCTAAAAGGTGAATTTATGCGTGGAAGAAGGGTCAATTTATGCATTGAAGGAAAGGTCAATTCTTGAGTTTTCATAACTCTCACAACTATCGACACTAAGCTCGCACGTATGACAGAAAATTTCAGCATTTATGACAATTATTGTGTAGGTAAATAAAAGAATTTGTCCCTAGAAGAATTATTAAAAAGAATGTATCTAAGTACTAGTTTAAATGAACATGACCAAGACTTAACATGCAAGACCAAGGCCGAATAAGGAAGACCAAGAAGAGTACCATGACTGGGATAGCGTTGGTCTTGCTTTTGCTTTGTTCATTACTAGATATGTAATTTACAAAAGCTTATAATTCAGTCAAGGTATAAAATTATAAAAGATTATAATCTTAACCAACAAAATTTGCAATATCTTTGGAATAAAGTTTAAAACACTTAAAGTGAAAAATCATGTTTTAATTTCGTGTTCTTCCGTCATACAATCACAATCCGTTTTTTCAATAGTTTTTAACAATTAACTTAAGAGCATGTCTCATTTTGAAAATTAGATTTTGAGGGCATGTTTTATTTTGATAAAGGAACATCATATTCGCCTATAGTCTTATATGAGACAACGGGACATCTTCCTTTTAGAACTAAACTTGGTTATTTGTTCGATTCACTACTCCATCGTACACTTAGCTCCATCTAGTAGCGAATTTTGGAAAAATAGACTTTTTGCATTAAAAAACTCATATATTAAAAGGAACAATAGAGAACGCTTCTATCCGTTTCTAATTTTAACACAATGATGGTACAATAAATTTTCTTCAGTAGAAAACAGCAAAGAATTATAAACTGTTCGTTAATGGAAATGGTCTTCATTTAAATTAAAGGTTAGGTAGAAATTACCTAAAAAATTAAAGGAGATTGCGAACTTTTATTTTACTGAAATAGTAGATATCAATAAATGGCGATACAATGTCATACCTGGATATTATATCAACTTGTTTTTATAGAGCTCCTTCGATTGGGTCTTTGAGAATGCCTATGGCGTGCTAATGAGATCTAAGAAGATTAAAATCGCAATCCACGTCTGATATTAATATGGATGAATTATTGATGACTATTGACTGTTGTTATTATATAATAATTAGATGTATCGTTAGATATTAGGGAATTTTACTTTTGTTTAATTTGTAAAGATGTATGCAATTGGGGATTGTAGGTATACATTTTAAGTCAGTAGGGCATAAGTCACTAAATAAAATATACTAAAGGTTTAGAGGTTAAATAGCTATCGGTCATGACACCATGGCTTCCATACATAACCTGTGGTGTAAATTAAAGCATGGTCTTTAAAATTTGTTAATACAGTAGAACCTCGATAAGATAAAGACCAAAACGTAAAATAATTTGAGTTATTGAGGCTTTTATTTACTAAGGGTTTAAGTTTAAGCTTTAAAATTATGGACTTCCACTGACTTAGCAAACTCTTCAGCTTTTTCCTTTAGTATAGGTCAACTAACACTAATGTTTTTACATATTTCTACCCTGTCTAAAACATGTAAACAAGCATTTTTCTAAATTAGGAAATTCACCAATTCTTTATCTTTTACATAGAAGGCTTTCTCCCAATTCAAACTACTTTTTACTGCTTATTGAGGTGGGTTGCCCAAATTATTCGTTTAACTTATAAAGGATTTTTATTTTAAGTAATAGTGGTTTTGGACTCCGAGGGGAAGGGAACACAAAATTTTATGAATTTATAATGGTTATTACGTTAACGAGGTTTAAGTTATCAAGGTTCTACTGAATTCTATGTTTCATTGGTTTTCATTTTAAATTACCTTACGCCTTATAGTTGAAGGAAGGGAGAGTCTACAATTTTCTTGTATTTACTTATAAAGGGAATGGGAGTGAAATTTAAACGCATCCGATCTAACATATAATAATCTAATTCTTCATTTGCAACTTAAAAATTAAAGATGTTGTTTTTATGTATGTTTTTCTGATTTCTGCTATCCTATGTTCACTAAGTTGGGTTCTCAGCTTGCTACTAAAGAGACATTCTATTGCTTGCAATCATCAAAGAGCGGCATCAGATTTTGATAAATAAGACGTGACTTTTAGGGGTATTTTGCCTTATTCAAAATATTATGGGAGTTAGGTCAGTTCAGCACAGTTTTGACGGAAGCAATTTATATTTTTAGAAAAACATGATTGAAAAAATATATTGCCCACCTTCTCACTTTTGAAAGGTATTTTGCCTTGTTCAAAAGATTTTGGGAGTTAGGTCAATTTAGCACAGTTTTCAGGGAAGCAAATTATATTTTTAGAAAAACATGATTGAAAAAATATATTCCACACCTTCTCACTTTTGAAAGGTATTTTGCCTTGTTCAAAAAATTTTGGAAGTTAGGTCAATTTAGCACAATTTTAAGGGAAGCAAATTATATTTTTAGAAAAACATGATTAAAAAAATATATTCCACACCTTCTCACTTTTGAAAGGTATTTTGCCTTGTTCAAAAGATTTTGGGAGTTAGGTCAATTTAGCACAGTTTTCAGGGAAGCAAATTATATTTTTAGAAAAACATGATTGAAAAAATATATTCCACACCTTCACACATTTGAGTGGCATTTTGCCTTGTTCAAAAGATTTTGGGAGTTAGGTCAATTTAGCACAGTTTTCAGGGAAGCAAATAATATTTTTAGATGAATATGGTTGAAAAAAATATTCTCCACTTTTGAGGGGTATTTCACCTTGTTCTAAAGATTTTGAGAGTTAGATGTGTTTAGCACAATTTTGAGTGAAACAAATAATATTTTTAGATAAACATAAAGAAATATATTCCACACCATCGAATTACGCATTTTCGTTCGTGTAATATAAAAGAAAAGCTGTCGACAAAAAAATGTGTAATTTCCACATTCAGTGAACATTTTGCCTTAACAGCATATGCACTGGTATTTTCCAAAACATGTTCAATTTTTTTTTTTTTGAAAAGTTTTGTTACTATTTTGGTAGACATTAAATGATATTATAGTTCCAGCTGTTGATCTACAAGAGTACCATGACCTACACAATTACAAAAGTGGGAACAAGGACACAATGTTAGCCGGCATATTACCTATAACGTAACTGTCTTATAGAAAGTCAATGAATCGTTCAAGGTAGCAGTCACAATTTACATGTAAATTTTATTATTGACTATATGATACCTACAGTATACAAATATACATACGACTTGATTATATAAACAAACTAAAATAAATACTGCACTTTATATTCATGAATAATTGTAGAGAAAGGAAAAACAATTGAATAGCCCGTTGGCGAACATTTCGGATTAAAGCATTTCATTATCAGGCAATCAACTCTCTGTTGTTCATTGTGTCACGTGTTAGTGCAGTTGTTTTTAAAAAATTAAACTTGGTTGACTAATTTTGTTAAGAAAAGAAAAAATACAATGGGTCAACTAATGTTACTTTATAAATTGTAGAAAAACATTAAATGGAAGTATAATTATTTTTATAATTAACTCGATTCGTAAAAATTGAAAGATAAGAAAAGTCTTTATACTTACGTAATGTAATTGTCCATGACCTTGAGGAAGTTCGAAACCATTAAGCGAAATGTTGAAAATTTACAATAACAAGTATCATTTACCCTAATAGCTCGAAGAAAGTTTGTAACTCAATAATATCGACTATGGAAAACATGAGTATCGATATTATCATCAGGTAATTCTTTTGGTAAATTGTGAAGCTGCATCTTCATAGAATATTTTTATAAGAGAAGTAGACAACATTTAATCAATAATTCAATTAAGTTGCTTTATTAATAAACAATTTATACTAGCATAACGTCAGACTGGCAACGAAAATATATATTTTCTTATATTTGGGTCATTTAAGTAATTAATTTATAATAAAATAGAGGCAATTCCACTCTCTAATGTTTAATTTTTACAGTTTCACTCACTGTAATAGAGCTTCTTCAGAATAAGTTATTGTACACGTATATTTCACAAATTTTCTTATAAATATATTAGCATAGCTTAATTGTTTAGACAATATTTATTTTTTATTTAAAAGTGGCATTAACCTGGAACATTGTCCATGTGAAACTTTTTCTAATTGATATTTACGATATAATAAATACACTTACTATAGCCAATAAAGTAGTTCAACCCGTACTGGCAGAGAGGCAGACAAAATATTCTCTTAGGGTCGTTTGTATCTTATTACCTACCGCAACCTAATATGACAGTAAAACATCTTTTAAAGTTATTTTTAGATTAATAAGTGAGTAAAAGAGTCATAATTTTATTTAGAAACAATGTGACCACACAATGGGTTTCACAGTATAAATGTGGATGCCACAATTACAGTAGGTAATTATACAAAATGGGTAACTAAAATACAATAAGCACCTGTACATATACATATAGAAGTATAGATGGTATTTGACCGAGCGGCATGGCCGAGAGGTTTAGACCATTGCTTAGCATTCGGGAGGATGCCGGTTCGATTCCGGGTCCGTCTGCCTTGGTCCAAGTTTTTCTGTGGTTTCCTTGGATCACTGGGGCAGTAATATTTCACAGAAAATCTTTCGTTCCGTCCGTCTCATCTTTATCACCCGAACCACCTCCCACCCATTCCCACGATTCCTGAAAGCAGGCTGAAGAGGGCCTTCCGCCCTACCTTCCGGCATAGTCCGGAGGGACTGCCCGCCCACCAGCATTACTGGCTGGTGGGAATGAAACACCCAAAAGTTTTTTTTTGTAGATGGTATATAGATTATTGAATCATATACATTGAAAATTTAAAATAATCACTATTTTGATAATGGGTTTCTTTAACTTCTACAGGTTCTGACATTTTCAATATTTCCTTTTTTTCATGGACAGTAAAATTTTAAATTTGTTTATACTAATTTCATGCGTATTATTTTTATGCGGTTCATTATTCTTAGTAGGTATGCTCATTAATTCTCTTCGTAAATTGTCTTCTAGTTTTTCCAATATAAGTATACTGCATTGTCTATGTTACAATTTAAATTGTTTTCATAATGTAGTAACATTTGCTTTTTTTTTGCTTCCCATTCATTTAATAAATATTTTCTTTTCTAGGATCCAAGCAAGTTGTATAATTGGGATGAAGCAACTCAAGGGATTATTCTAAGGTAAGTTTAACATTTAGGAATAAGTAATAGAACCGTATTAGTATCAGTAAGTACGAGGTCTGTTCAAAAAGTATCGAAAATTTCGTGTTGTCAACGTTTTTTCCATTCCCCGAAGCACTTCAAAAAATCATTTTTTTGTGATCTTATTGAGCTACTCCTACGATGCTGTCTTTATCTCCTCAATCTTAGCATCGTCCTTTCATGGGCCCCTTCAGTTTCGGGAAAAAGAAAAAGTCACAGGGTGGCAGATCTGGGAAATACAGTAGCTGCATCATTATGAGTGTGTTGGTATTTGCCAAAAATTCATTCACAACCAACAATGCGTTAGCAGAGGCGTTATCATGGTGCAAAAGCCAATTTTTGTTTTTCCATAAATCCGGGCGTTTCCGGCGGATTGGTACGCGCAAATTGCGCATAACTTGCAGGTAATATTCCTTATTGACCGTTCTACCCTGTGGCAACAACTCATGATGCATCACGGCCCTTCCTCCGGAAAATCTTCACATTCAACCTAACTTGGCGCGCTTCTTTCGGTCTTGGCTCATGCGGCAGCTTCCATTGGGATGATTGAGGTTTGATTTCACGTCATAACCATAAACCCATGATTTGTCACAAGTTATGGTCCTCTGGAGCAAATTTGGTTTGTCGCGGACAGAGCCCAACAGCTCCTTGGCAATGTTAATGCAGTGCTGATTTGTCGAAATTGAGCAATTTTGGTACGAAATACCAAATCATTGGTAAAAATCGAATGGCGAGAGTCAATCGATATGCTTACATCCTCAGCAACTGATTCAACGATTGGCCAATACTATTTTCTTCACTTCATCAATGTTTTCTCCTGTTGACGTGCTCAGCCGTTCGGCACGCTCTTCGTCGTTCACATTTTCTCGGCCCTCTGAGAACCTTTTGTACACCCGATAAACCTTGCTGAGGTCCAAGGTAGCTTTATGATATGCCACAGTCAACTGACACAAAATTTGATACAGATTCTTTTATCCATTTTTGGAATAGGCAAAAATCGAAGACGAGCCAAAACACGTACAAGCAAAGCAGCTGTCAAAATTAACTTAACATTGAACTTCGCCGAACTTTTCGGTATAAGTGAGAGACATGTGTGCCAACATAACGCCATAAAAGAATCGAAAATTGAATATACGTAATCCGCGGAAATTCATTATTCGCGATACTTCTTGAACAGACCTCGTATAATAGATGTAAGATTGCATGTTTTCTTCGTATCATAAAACCAATATTAAATTGGGGTGTGTCGAAAATGATAAAAATATCTGAACGATGGCATTCTTCACAATCTTTGTAAGCGTTGAATGCGTGCTGGCGTGCAGTACGTTTAGAATCTGCAGGTGACAGCCGTGTACAATTTGAGAAGTGTAACTTGTACTTTGTACAATGATACTTCTTAAAATTGTTCATGAAGCAAGATACAGGTCGGACAAAGGAAGCTGGCGAGCGGTCGCGCAGGTACTTGCCCATTTATGACCTATTTGGGTAAGTCACTTGGAACCGATACACAAATAAGCTTTCAATAGGCGTAGATTATAGTATTAATACAGATAGGACAGTAGCGTACTAGAAAATAACGTAGAAACAAAACTTACCAAAAAGAAAAAATAAACCGATTGCTTTTGTTTTATAGTTAGTTTTCACATTCACTGTCATCATGGCAACCTCTATCACTGTCACCAACATCAACAACTAAATCTTCTGTTTGTCTGTCTATTACTTGCTCACTGATCCCTATTTTTAAATATTTAATCTACGCCTGTGATAGGAATATTGAAGAAACAGGGCTGCAATCTTTATACCTAAAACTGCCTACTTTTGCTACCGCGCATCCACGCCATTTTAAAATTTCCGCCAGCTTCCAACGTCAGACCTGTACTCGCATTCGCTTGCGCTGCCGTGCAGTACATCAATTTAACAGCTGTGCTGGAGTCGCGTATATTTGACATATCATTGTAAGAGTAGCTTGCGTTGATGTTAAGTAGACATATTACAGTAATATCTATTGCGTTGATTCATTTGTTAAATAAGAACTAGATAATCTTCAACCGATAATAATGAACTTCAAGTATGATTAATTTAATTGATTAATTAAGCTTAAAACGTTTTTACATGCCTATACACACATTATCATGAGATAGTGAATGCATGTAAAAATATTATCAAAAGCAATGTTTTATTAAATAAAGTCTAAAGAGTCTACTTATATGGAAACTTTAGCTTGGTTTTATTTTTATTTCATTTTAAGAAAATCAATATACATATACGTAATTATTCTATATTACAATCCTTGCTCCACATTGCAGTTTTATTCACTGCAATAAACAAAGTTTTGCGCTAATTCTCACGGCCAACTTCTGTTTCTAAAGAAAACTAATACATGTTTTATGTATATTCGTAATTGGGACGTCGTGTTACAGAAAAGCTAACGCACATTATTTGTCGGAATAAATTTTCAATAAAAAAAATCTGCAGTATGAATTAACAAGTAGAAATTGAGCAATATTACAGGTGTATCATACCGTCAAACAGTAAATTTATCTAATCCGTAATCTAATCGAGTTGTATCTAGTACATAACAGACATATCAGTGGCGGTTCGTAAAACTAAAATTAGTAGGGGTGCTGCTATAAAACGAAAAGATGATGAATGAATGCGGAAAGAAAATTTATTCCAAAATTTAATAAAAATCAAAAAGAACAGTTTTGAACATTTTGCGAAACAAAAGAGGCAGATTTCAAACATGTTAGATTTGTATGTTCAGGACATAGTTCCGTACGGAAAAAGAAATAATAGTTACATTTAAGATTCATCATCATCATTAGGTCGTCAGTGCTGCTTCGACAGGCACCTCCACTCTTCCCTATCCTGAGCTAATCTTCGCATTTACCGAAAACTAGAACAACCCACATCTTTAACTACTTGCGAACAGTAATCTAATCTAGGTCTACCTCTACCCCTCCTAACTAATATGTTTTTGACTAGACCTTCATGCTTGAGTAGTCCTACCAACCTCCTATCTCGCATATTTCTTATTGACGTCCATAGATTCCTCCGTTCTCCTATTCTTTCTAATACCTCTTTATTTGTAACCTTCTCTATCCACGATATCCTCATCATTCACCCGTAGAACCGCATTTCAAACGCATCTAACCTTTTCTCTTCGGCAGCGCCCACCGTTCATGTTTCGCATCCGTAGAGGGCCGCGCTCCAAACATACACCTTTAACAATCTTTTTTGAATTTCTAAATTAACCGTTCGCGAGCAAAGAAGTGACTTCTTTTTATTATAGGCGACACGACCCTGCGCTATTCTCTGCTTTATATCCTTACTACTCCTTCCGTCCTGACTTATCTAACTTCCTAGATACCTAAAATCAGTCACATCTTCTAATTTTTCGTTTCCAATCTTTATATTCGCTGTTTACCTGCTTTTTCTTCTCTTGCATACCAGTATTTTTGTTTTACTATTATTTATTTTTATACAATATTATTTTGTCAATTTCGCTTCCATTTTACTTAAAGCCAGTACTGCTATATCATCGGCAAATCTAGGCATACTAATAACGTTAGAAATGAAATAATATTTGAAGGGCAGGAAAACAGGACGCTAGGAAATCGATAAGGAAGACGATAGATGGAATAATTCGAGGTTGCCTGCTCTGATCCAAGCTTTTCTGTAATGTTACATAGATAATTCTTTGCCCCCTTCTATATTTATTTCGTTCGTTTCATCCATCTTTCCCAACCACCACCCACTTAGTCCCACAATTCCGAGAAAGAGACTAAATAGGGTGTTCTTAACCTCAGGCTTTGGACTGCAGTGCAGATTAGAGGGACACCCCCCACCAGAATTAGTAGGTGTTTGTCCTTATTTCCTATTCTCTTTCAATTATTGTTGTTATTTTCGTGAAAACCATGGTGCCTAAAGAGAATATCAGGAAGCAGAAATTCGAACAGTATTCCAATAGCTTAATATGTTTGAAGCACTCTGAATAAAGTAGTTGTTGTTCTATTTCTTTGCTTTCTTTTTAGTTCCTTTTATTACGGATATGTAGTAACACACCTGCCCGGAGGACTTTTGGCTGAAAAATTCGGTGGAAAGTACACTTTAGGAATTGGAATGTTATCAACTGCCGTACTTACCGTTCTTACCCCCCTAGTTATCAAATTTGGAGATTGGCAAGGGCTGGTCGTTTTGAGAGTATTAATGGGATTGGGAGAGGTTAGTCTAATCGTATACCTATTTAAGTCACGTTTATTTTCGCCTCATTAAATATTATACATGGGTAGAGCCTGTTCAAAATTTGTTGATGTAAAATTCTCAGAAACCAGACTAATTACTTCTCGGAACACAAGGGTCCTCCCCCGACTTTCGCATGTAAGCAGTGGCGTACATTTAAATTGTCGTAGTCATTGAAAGTTCGCTGGGTACTCGACGAATTTTTAGACAGGTAAATAAATACAAGCCACATTTGTATTAAAAAATATTCTGTAAATTTTTTTTTACGCACGGTAGGGTAAGTTCGTTTTATGCGAGTTGATATGTAACGAAATCATGCAACGGATGTCCCGCCTATACTCGGTCGAGTTCGTAGTGGTGATCGCTTAAGCCGTGAGCGCGCTTCAATGCAACGTTCGTTACAGGCAACTCCGGCATGTATAGTGTAAAATTTAAATTACATAGTGTACAAATAATACCATTAAACCAATTCCTTAACCCCCATCCCGGTATGTTTGTGTGTTTGAAGAAGTTTCACTTCAGTAGCGTGTTGTATAATTACACGTTGTATTTTTTGACGTGACAACGTCTTATAATTCGATACCGGCTGCACGCACGAAAAAACATGACTCATGCGGCGTTGCCTCGCTCTGAGGCGTTCCATTGAAGGCTTGAAGTGCAAGCGAGAGCGCGGAACGAGCGACAAAGAGGCACAATCGGCCTCCGCGTTCGGCAGCGTTCGACATCTGTCTCTCTCCTACTTGAGTGAGCGATGCGTCCGCGTGGACAGCTGCTATAC